CATGTGCACTGCACCTGGTGTTTGGTAAATTTCTATTTGATAATGTATTATTTGTGGCCTCCTTCATTAGAGGTTTAGGCAGGCAATTAGGACTCTTAGGGCCCTGCAATTCTGTTTTTTCCACATCAGTTCTTGTGAGGTTTCAGTCTGACCCATTTTCTTCTTCCTCTGTACGTGCTGAGAGAATAGTGTGGACAGGAGAGTACCATGAAGGTTGGGCTAGAATCTGCTTTGGCCACCTTTGTACTGAGACACATATCTTCATTTCCACAGTGGGGACATTTATATATTTCCTGAGGTGGTATAAAGTACATATTGAATAATGTATGGCACATAATAAATATTACCACTTGTCTTTATTTAGGTAAGAAACCTCAACTGACCACTTTTGCTATTACAGATACTATTATTGTGGTGTTTTATGAGCAAATAACTGTGTTGTAAATGACAGAATGCTGTTGCTTCTGCTTTTGCTTTTCACTAATTGCCATATTCCAGGAAATGCATCCACAAACAATCCTTAACCATGTCCCAGATGTCTGCATGGTCTTTGAAGTGCTTGGTCACCATCTCCTCAAGTGGATCATCAAGTCCAACTATCAAGGCCTCCCAGTGCGTTGTGTGAAGAGTATCATTCGACAGGTGAGGCCTCTGAGGATGCCTCCATCTCTAATCCCCACTTGTTTATCTGTTCCACACAGATTTTTGTTTTGAAAGAGTGAATGAATGAATAACATTTTGAAAACACTTGTGAAATCAGTTTTATATTTATTTAATGATATTTTATGCTGTGTTATAAAGAAAGCAGTATATAAATATTGGGCATACATTTCTTATATATCAGTCCTCTTTTGAGGTAAGTGATACAATATAATCAGAGATTATTGTATGCAGTATGCTTACTCAAAACATTCCATTTAAGTCCTTTCAAAATAATTTAGAACAAGTAATTTATTGGGTTCATTTACTATTTCTAACTATCCTTGGATGGAGTGAAAAATCAAAAATTAACTTGAGGAGTTTTCAGACTCAGAGTTGTAAGGGGAATAAGTTTTGGGGATCTGATTTATAGTGGTGACTGTAATTAGCAATACTGTATTGTATACATGGAATTTATGCAAAGAATTTATCCTAAGTATTTTCTCCACACAGAAAGATAACTGAGAATAATGGATAAATAAGTTTATTAACTCATGTATAATTATTTATAACACAATATATACATGTGTGAAAACATGTATTACACAGCAAATGTATTCAATTTTCATTGTTAGTTGTACCTCAACAGGAGTTCAAAAAGTTAGGGAAAAGAATACATGGGTCATGAGAAGAGGGCCTGGAGAAAGGCTTTGCATTAACTTATTTCAGTTGTATTGAGAT